ACATACCATTGCAACCCAGGACAGATTTTAAGTGCTAAATTTGTGGGGATGACTTCTATGTGGAAATTTAAGCAAGTAAATCTTTGCAGATTCTGGCTTCATAGGGAAGTGGACCCATGGGTTTGTAACTACTTCAGAGATAATTTTACATTTTTCTTGTTTGCAACAATGAGCTTAATTGCTGTTGTTGAGCCTCAAGTTCTGTGAATGATTATTTTTTAGGAAAAAGGAATTCTCACCAGGAGATTGAGTTGTGCCATTCATCCATTGAAAGGGAATATTTTACTCATGTTTTAAACTAAAAGTAATTTGAATATGTTTCCTTAGCAATTTTGCCTTTATAGAAATATTTCCATTTTTTTAGTGGAAAAACGAAAAAAACTTGTTTACAGTACATGAATCTAAATGCAAATTTGGCTCAAATATAAGAAGACTTTCTAAATGTTTCTAACCCTTACAAGGACATTGGTTAAGAAGAGTTGTCATTCACTGTACAAAATAAAGAGCAGCAACTAGGGATTATGAATGGACTGATATTTGGAGGAATGGCTTTGCGAAAAGGGACATGATTTCCTTGGAGCTGACAACCCAGCTTGTAGTGTGGTGTAAGGCCTACAGCAGCTGTGACCGAGCCTTGAACCTGCTGATAAGGAGCAAGCTCTGCCTGGCAGAGCTGGCTCTGACCGGCTCTGAGTCCGGTGTCAACAAGCTCCCTGGAATTCCTGAGAACATCCTGGAATGTGGACAGACACCTGCTTGCTCCAATCATAAGTTTGCCCTGGACACTGGGACAAGGGCAATAAACCAATCATGTATCCGCTGTGTTCGCGTACACTGTGTGAATGTCTATATATATCTTGTAAGCACTAAGAATAAAGGAGAACGACCATACTCATATTGAGATTCATCGTTACTCCAGGTCTGGATCCCACTCCAACACTGATAAACTAATTTTTTTTCCTGTTTATTTTCTGCTACCTTCCAGGTTTATGACAGACCACAAAAACATTCTGCTCTGCACTATGATCCAGGTCTCCAACTGGACTTCATGAGTGACACCTTAAAATCAAAGCACCAGCAGAAGAGTAGCAACCAGAACCATTTTGACTGGTCAGCGAGCTCTGATAGCAGATCCACATCTCAAAGTTGCTTTGTCAATACAGAACCCATTAGAGAAGCAGTTATTGCCACCAAGGTCTCCCCTCTGGAGCCAGGAGTTTCCTTCAACAAATCCCAGGTAAAGAAGTCCTGCGCCAGCAGCATGTGGGGGCAGCTGTCAGCCAGTAGTAAAGAGCTTGCCATTTGCAGTGCAGTCCCATCACCCAACAGCATCAGCACGGTGACCCAGCCAAGCAGCGCCTCTGAGTGCAATGGGCTTTCGCCTCTTGGTGATCAAGAGGGAGGTGTGCATCTGGAAGCCCCCAATTGGCCCACTGGGAGTACAAAGAAGTCCAGCAAACAGGACTTGATAAGTCAAACTATCCAAACCACAGACATAGAGTGGGTGAAGAGTGCTCAGAAAGCATTTGACAGCAAATCCTATTACAGCATGGAAGGAGAAAAGGACAGTGTGTTGGATACATCACCCTCGAAGCAGAATTCCACTTCTGCTAGCAGTTGTGAAAGTGTCACCAGTCATGTACAAATTACTATCCCAATAAAGTCTCCAATAACAGATACATCTGGCCAGAAAAGGAAAAAAAGGCACTCCACAAAATCTTTCATAGAGAAAACTATCCAAATGAAAAACCTGCCTTCTGGACTTGCTATGAGCAGTGAAGTAACAAACAGGACTAGCTCTCAACCAGAGAGGAGTAAAAAGGATCTTCAAGCCACAAAGCCAGGAAAAGTGATTGAAAATGAGTCCCCCTTAGTAGCTATTGACAGCGGTGTGCTCACTGACAAAGCTTCCACCAACTGTGCCACCAGACTCAGAAAATCTGTATCATCCACTCTCATACCCACCAATCTTCCCACAGCTGGCAAATTATCTGAGGTCCAGCACCCCAAACATGCAGCTAAGCAACAATGGACCTGCAGCAAACCTAAATCTATTCTTCAGGAGACCTCCATGATGACAACTGACAAGCTGATGGTGGAGCCTCCTTCAGCTTATCCCATCACACCATCCAGTCCTCTTTATACCAATACAGACAGTCTTACTGTGATCACACCTGTCAAGAAAAAAAGAGGACGACCAAAGAAACAGCCTTTGCTCACTGTTGAAACCATTCATGAGGGAACATCCACCAGCCCAGTGAGTCCAATCAATCACAAATTTCCAGGAACAAAGAAAAGGAAGAGAAGAAGGAATCTGGACAAGTTGTCCCAGATGGTTCCAGGAGAGGACAAGTCCGTAAATGAACACGAGTTTCACAAAAAAGTCGGGAATCTTGGGGTCTTGAATAAGAAGACCATCAAGACCATTAATAAAATGAAGACCCTCAAGAGGAAGAATATTCTCAATCAGATCTTGTCCTCCTGCTACAGCAGCATAGCTCTGAAAGCAAAAGTCCAGACACTGTCTAGTGCTGGGTCAACCACCATTGATGCCAGACTAGGGAAGCAGATCCATGTCAGCAAGAGGGGGACTATCTACATTGGTAAAAAACGGGGCAGAAAGCCAAGAGCAGAGCTGCAGACTCAGCCAGAAGAACCTAAGACAACCATTAAGCACTCAAAGCCTGTTTCCAGCCAGCCAGAAAACCCAGCAGTGCCTTCCAACCTGCAGTCACTTGTGTCATTGTCACCAGCAGCTATTCATCCGCTTTCAACACAGTTAGTGGGGACTAATGGTAACCTTAGCCCTACAAGAACTGAAACAAATTTTTCAGAGTTAAAAACTATGCCGAAACTTCAACCTATCAGTGCTCTTCCTACAAAAACCCAGAAGGGAATGCATAGTGGAACTTGGAAACTGTCTCCACCCAGGCTAATGGCTAATTCACCTTCCCACCTTTGTGAAATAGGCTCTGTGAAAGAAATCACACTGTCACCAGTGAGTGAGTCTCACAGTGAGGAAACCATACCAAGTGACAGTGGGATAGGTACAGACAGCAACAGCACTTCAGACCAAGCTGAGAAAAGCTCAGAATCCTGCCAAAGATACTCCTTTGATTTCTGCACTCTGGACAATCCAGAGGCTATCCCATCTGACACCAGCACAAAGAACAGGCATGGTTACTGGCAGAAACATTTCATTGCGGATAGCTTTCTCTCTCATGAGAGTATTAAAAAGCCAAAGCACAAGAGGAAAAATAAAAGCCTACAGAACAGAGATGATCTCCAGTCTATCCCATCCCAGCACAAAGAACAGGCATGGTTACTGGCAGAAACATTTCATTGCGGATAGCTTTCTCTCTCATGAGAGTATTAAAAA